ATCTGTTTCGAGTATTGATCTTTTTCTCGTATTTGCTTTGTCAGCTTAGCGAAGAGGGAGCATGTGAGGACGTAAGTGGCGATGGACAACCTTCTACCTTTAATGAATGGATTCTTCCTGCGAAGGAATTTGATGGGATGTGGGAAAGGTTAATTTGCTACTTATTACTTTTTCCCCCATTAGTAGGTTGAGATAAACTGATGTTGTGACATGGTCTTCTACCTTTCCAGCTTAATTTATGAATCTGGTCTCAAGCAAAGGTTGCTGCGGTATGCAGCTAGTGCGTTGCTTTTCACTGAGAAGGGTGTCAATCCTTTCCTTGTGTCATGGAATCGGTAAGGACTTGTTTGTTGATTTCATCTGTATACACATATGCCTGTATTTTATGATTATTGAGGAATTGCTCTTTAGCACCGATATGATTGTTTCTATCCCTTTGCAGCATTGTTCTTTTACATGGACCTCCAGGCACTGGAAAAACCTCTTTATGTAAAGCACTGGCTCAAAAACTATCTATTCGATTTAACTCCAGGTTTGTTGATGTATTGTTTTGTTCAGACGAATATATATTACTAAAATGGAAGTCTCTGTGCGTAAATTTCCAGACTCATTACTCTATGCATTGCAGATACCCACAGTGCCAATTGATTGAAGTTAATGCACATTCTTTATTCAGTAAATGGTTCTCCGAGAGTGGAAAATTGGTACGTAGTTGATATTATAATTCTCGAAAGATGCTTCTGCTCTTTGTAAACAAGAGTTGGGATTTTGTATATGCAGTTTGTATAAAATATTTTTCAATCTTAGGTTGCAAAGCTTTTCCAAAAAATTCAAGAGATGGTAGAAGAGGAAAACAATCTGGTATTTGTTTTGATTGGTGAGATTTAATTTTACTCTGATTTCTGATTTCATGGTCATCTTTCTTCCATCTGGGTTGTGATTATATATATGTGGTGATGCTGCAGATGAAGTTGAAAGCCTCGCTGCTGCTAGAAAAGCTGCTCTATCTGGTTCTGAACCTTCAGATTCTATTCGGGTACCATGCTCTCACATTTCTCCTATTCTAGAATACTTTCTAAGCTTTTTGATTGAACATAGAGAAATTTTTTGGATATCTCATTTTCCAGTCCAAATAGCACCTAAAAAATGACATGCCAGGTAGTGAATGCGCTGCTAACTCAGTTGGACAAGTTGAAATCAGCACCGAATGTGATAATTCTGACAACATCCAACATAACGGCTGCTATTGGTAAGCCTGTAATCAATTTCCTAACATGGTAAATGAACTTCCCTGGGTTTGCTTGCTATTTTTCATCTTTAAGAGTGGAAAGTTGTAGCTTTGAAAGAGTTTATGTATGTTTCTCACTGTATAAAACGGTTTAGCCTATTTGTGGTTTGCCTATGATAGTATTCTCATCAGCCTCCAATCCACTGTGGTTCTGAGGAGCTATAAAAATAGATAGGCATTGCTGTATGTTAATATGCTACAGAAGCAGATTCCCGCATTCCCTAATTTCCAACCTATTTGCTGGGATAAAAGTTTTTAGCTGAATGATATTCTCATTTTTTCTTATTGTTGGTGTTCTTTCTTTTGTTTGCTGGGAGCATTTTTTATCCTCCTCGCTCTTTCCCCAATGATATATTTTATTTTCTGTGTCGAAGGAGGAAAAACTCTAAGAATCTGAGTATTTATGTATTTACCATTTATTGGGTTGCAGATATTGCATTTGTTGATCGAGCTGATATAAAAGCATATGTCGGTCCCCCAACTCTGCAAGCGCGTTATGAAATTCTAAGGTCCTGCTTGCAGGAACTTATACGAACAGGAATTTTATCAAATTTTGAGGTACGTGTCTTACCTTCTTCAGATACCATTTTTGTTAAGTGCTAATGTGTGGAAGTTTCAAATTGAAGCCTTGTCTAATGAACATTGTAAATTTTAGGATTGTGAAAGCCTCATGCTTCCTAACTACGGTAGCTTGAAAGAGAAATTGAATATGCCTGAGGTTCAAGATGCCCGAACACTACACATGTGTAAGCTATTGCTTGAAACAGCAGAAGCATGTGAGGTGAGGAACTGATTCTTCAATGCCTTCTAAATTAGTCCCTCTTTTTTTTTTTTTTTTGTATTTTATAAAGCTATTTGATTGTTGATTTTGCTTCTTTACTTTGTTTAGGGATTAAGTGGACGATCTTTAAGAAAGCTTCCATTCCTAGGGCATGCGGCTCTTGCAAGTCCTTATGGTTGTGACCCTAGCAAGTTCTTGAGTACAATGATAGATACGGCTAGGAGGGAGCGTTCTGAGCTACCTGACTGAATCGACTAATTTTCACATCTTGTGAACAATGTATTTTTGTTCTTACTGCAAACTGTGACTTATAATCTAATTCATTTTAAAGCATTAGCAGCTTCCCTTCCTTTGTGATGAAGATTATAGTTAAAATTATCATATAATCTGTCCCCCAAAAAAGAAAAAAAGAAAAAAGAAAGCCATACAAAAACATCGAAGTGGCTATATTCTTTTGAAGCATCACGCCCTTCCTGAGATCTCATAAATGGTAGGCTATATGCATCAATAGACAGGAATAACTTCAAAATGGACTAACACTGAAGAAAACAAGAAACAGAGGCTAATTTCCTATTGTGTTGAAAAATGAGCAGACGTTACAGTTCATGTAGTTGACCATGAACATTACTACAACAAATACATGTCAAGCAGCAGTCTGCTTGCCTTCTGTAGAACCAAAAAGTTTGGAAATTTCACCAAGCTTTCGAATATGATGAGGGCATTTATAAAGCAGTTCTTTGGCCTCAGAGTCTCTACCTTCTTTAAAGAATGATTTGAAAACATGGACATAAGCTGCAGACGAGGGATATTCCTTCACAGACAATGCCTTGAAAAATTCTGCAGCATCCTCCACTGAACCAAATTTTGATATATATTGGACAAAAGGTTCTGGATAAGGTGGGTAGCTCTGTTTCTTCATTAAATGAAGAAGTGCGAATGCTTCATCGAGTTTTCTAACTTCTAACAGGTTTTCGATAAGATTTTTGTATGTGGCTTGCCAAGGTCTTAAACGAGTCATATTCACCATTTCAACAAGCAATTTGTATGCACCCTCTATCTTCCTCTGCTTAAGGAATCCGTTTATCAAGACATCCAGTAGATCGGCATCAGCATCACAGCCTTTTTCGATCATCTTTGCAAAACAAACCAGCGCCGTGTCAACTTCATTAGCAGCACAGTGTCCTTGAATCAAAATGGTCCAAGTCATGATATCAGGAACACACCCATTTGCTTCCATCTCATCCAGCACTTTGCAGGATTCTTCAAGTCTCTTGGCCTTACAAAGTCCAAAGACCAACTGACTGTATGTAATGTTGTCTGGCTCATACCCTGCATTTCTCATAACCTTCGTAATTTTCTCTGCTTCATCAAAACTCCCTGCACTTGTCAAAGACCTATGAATTCCATCATAAACAGCCTTAGAGAGTGTATTCCCTGCAGACTCGAATTTCTTTGCAACTCTAAACACCATATCCAAATCTGGTTTATCACTTGCTGAGATGCTCCGTAAAAGCATGCTGCAATCCTGAACAGAAGGCTTATAAGGGCCATCCATCATGAGCTCATATAGCTTCACCGCATCTTCCATCATCTTGCTCTTCTGAAACTGCCTCGTAATCTTTATATAAGTGTCTAAATCCAGTTCATGACCTGCACCCTTCATTTCCTCAATCACACTCCAAAACTCCCCAATTGAGTCAGCCTGTGCAATAATCCTTGCAACTGCATTATATGTGATAGTATTGTGTTCATAACCGGAACTTTGACCGAGCCAATGGAAAAAGCTCAAAGCTTTCGATGGGCAAATTCTAAGTTCCTTCAATACCCTTATGATAAAATTATCAGATAACGTAATTTTGAGCTCCCCCAACTCTTTCTCAATCCCAGCACTCCACTCTGACCCTGAAACAACATCGGCCACCTTCTTCGCAACCTCATCCGTCGCATTATCTTGCATCATCCTTTCAAAAAAATGCTTGAAAGCCACAACATCATTATTCATCTTCCCCTTTTTAAGCCGTTCTGCGATGGCCGAATACGTTTGCACGTCAATGTAAAAGCCTTGCTCTTTCATTTGCCTCAGAGTGATCCAAAACTGTTTCATTGAATCCTTGTGCCCTAAAACCCCAAGCATCAAGTTAAACACCGAAGAGCTTGGCCTAAAACCATTTTTCTCACAGACCCAGTTGAAAAAATCCCAAGCCTTTTTTGGGTCTTTATCCAGTTTCTTCAAAACATAGATAACTGCATCGTGGGTCAGTGATGGGTAGGACTCAGATAACTCGTTCTCCAACTCAGCGGACCACTGGTTAGCCAAAACCAGTTGCAAAACCGAGTTGGGGGCCGAGGAAAAGAACAGGCTTTGATGGGTATTGAGGAAATGAAAACCGCATGATTGATCAGAATGAAAGTGAGAGAGGTGAGAGAATTGAGTCACCTGAGAACAAATCGGCCGAGTTGTGACGTAGGACCTGGTCAACACGAGCGAGTTGGCGAAGCCAAGGGTTTTGAGCAACGCTGCCTTTGCTCGATTCATGGCTGCTAAACTTTTTCACTGAGACTACACCACAGAAGAAGCCACTGATATCAATTAGGGGATTTCCAGGGTTTAAGCCTTTTCGGGTCAACCCGAATAGAGTTGTGTCCAAATTGGAGCCCATGGGCTTGTCGAAACCAAATGGGGGGGCCCATGTGTTTGTAAGACTTTCACAAGGAGGGGCCCACCAATTCTGTAGGGAGGTTTCATATGGCCCCCACGCACCTTGAGTATCTTTCACGCGAAGTTGGGTTCGGTTATTAAAGTGAAACCCGGAACCCGCCCTTTTTTTTTTCTCTAACCGGCGTGCGAGGCTCCCTGCAAGACCAAATACACGTGGCAGTTGGTTATAGGAGAGGAGGCAGGTGGGGCCAGGTGTGCTGTGGGTCCCGAAGTTTGCGAGTGCTGCGGAAAGGTTTGAGTAAAGAACTTACGCAACATAACAACGGTGGTCCTTTATTCCTCTTCCAATCGGGAAGCTTACAAAAAAATGGCCGTTGTGAGATTGAAAGACATTAGCCATTGGATAGAGACATGTGTTGCAATCTTATCTTGAGCCCTTTAGGTGGAGAGTGTCAATCAGTTGTCAAGACAAATGGAAACCCCAACTAAATACGTGAAGTTAACAAGAAAAATATTGTGTTTTCAAAAAGTATTATGGTTATAATATACGCTAAACGAATCAAAGTTAAAAATTTAATAAAGACGAAATGACGTAAAATCTGAATGACTTAGATACGCAGTAGCATTAGCGGACAAACTAATTCATAGACTTGTACATATTTTGGCCTATCATGAGCATGAGCTTAGGTAGGAATAAGTTATTATACATATTTTTATCTTTTCCTAAAGCAAATCATGGTCTAACTGTGTCATAATGAAGTTTAGATGGTCAACCACAAGACATAAGTACAATTTTGAGTCTTGACCCAGCTAAGACACATGTCTGAAATTTATAATTTGATCTCATAATATTCTGAAAATAACAGAGTGACCCCAAATCAAACCACCGAACACATCAAAAGCAACACAAAAAGAAAATTATAATCCTTTTTTGACGTGAACCGACCAAAAGAGAAGAGAGAAGAGCCAAAAATTCAAAGACCAACATAGATAAAGATCCTTTTTGATGAAGGGGTTGGCTTTACAAGGAGCTAGGCTAGCCCCACCTTTGGGGCACCATGTATGCTTTGCCTTGAAAAATTTGTTACCCTTCAAATGAATCCCACCTCCAAAACAAAAAACTCCTCCACTGTCCTATATCTTTTGTTTCTTGGCTTTCCTTTTCCTGTGGAAACGTGCCCCTGATACTGTTCATTAAAGAGAAAAAACGTGCATGCGGGAATATAAGATTAGGTCTCCGCAGTATGCGTGCATCACAATATTTCACCTGTCTCTGCAAATAAAGCCAATTTCCTAGCCACTTATATATATATATATATATATATATATATGTGTGTGTGTGTATATCCATGTTTATATGTTCTGTGAGTTCCTCATAACATGCCCTAGCTAGCTACTTCTCTAGCTCTTTTCTTCTCCCTCCCATGATAACCATGGTGGCTGCTTTTGAATTTGTCACATTAAGCATGAACGTTTTGGTTTTGGAAGTTCAATATTGGAAGCAATTTAAGCTTCTCTCTCAACTTCAAGAGATGAGTGTTTGTTCTTGGAGCTGCCATTTAAAGAAGTTTGAGGTCTCTCCTCCAACTCCTCCTCCTCCAAGGCCAAGCATAGTGATGTAGGTGTCGATAGCATCGATCCATATTCACGGGGGAATGAAGCTCTCCTGGTCCGATCACCTTCTTTTTTCTGGGTTCCTTTCAGTTTATAGTTCTTCTTATATATCTTTTTGGTTTTTGAGTATGTGCAGCAAATACCATGTTGCTGTCCTGCATGTTCTCATATTACCTTGTTCCTTGTAAGACTTTTTTTTCTTTTTTGAAGACCTTTCCTATTGAGATGGGCGATATTGTAATATGTGTACTAAAACATCCAATATATATATGTTTTCGTAGTATGCAGATCGGATTTGGACTTTTTGTTATTATTATTTACTTCTGATGTTCATAATTCTTGGTAAAAATACGAAGTCCCTGAAGTCCAGAAGCCATTGAGTATGAAACTGTCAGGTTCTGAATGGGCTTATGCATTCTGCAATTCTGACTTATTAATTAGATAGACTTTAAAATCAATAAGTTGGATTTTTTTTTGTTAGACAAATAAACATACCTTATAGTTCTCCTTCTTGTTCTTCTTAATGGTTTTATCATCATTCTGTTGAGCTAGTGGTTCAGGAGATATCATTCAAATTATTACAAAGCCTGCTTAAAGGAAAGGGCAACTGAGCTGTGGTTTTGTCATTTTTGTCACTGCTACTCTAATTTGGGTGACACTGTAGGTGCATATGAAAATGGCATCTAAGCTTTGCCATCTTGAATATTTTTCATCCAATTTGGGGCAATTTGTCTGCTGTTATGCAGCATATATGTGCTGATTTACCACAATGGTTGGTGCTGCTGGCTCTCTCTTTTTTCTATGAAAATTTGACCAACTGTTGAATCTTTTTCCTTTTACACCCAACACACAAATTGAGCACAACTCAAAGACTGTTTAGCAGCAGTGGCTGGCATATCCCAATAATGAGTACATTTTTCTTTTCTTTCAAATTCTTAAAATCATGAAAAGCATAGGTTGACTATGAGATTGTTTTATGGTACTGGTCCCTGGGCAGATATAATTTCCAGCTATGAGATCTCATCTGTTAAAAACATGATAAAGCTTTCTTGAGTACCATAATCATTCATCTTTCTCTACTTTTTATTTTTATTTTATATATATATATATATATATATATAAAATCAACAGAATGATGGTAAATGATATCATGAAATGTGTGGCCTTCCTATTTCCCCAACAATGTTAAATATGGGGAAAACTTTCACTTTGGCTGCAACCCTAGTTTCAAGCCTTACATGGATACCAAGTACCATATGGGGCTCTAAACTCATAAAAGTTAAATAGTTATAATGACTTTAGCTTAGCCTTCTCAGCCCCCCACACACACATACACTCACTCTCTCTCTCTCTCTCTCTCTCTCTCTCTGTGTTAAAGTATGAACATGGAGGCAGAGCAAAGGAAAATTAACATAATATCTTTATTGGTGACAGTGTAAAAAACAAAACAAATCTCTTTATGAAAGCTTAATGTTAACAAATTAACAGACACAATTGCCAAAAGGCTATAACTTCTTTCTCATGATTGTCCAGTTGTCCCTGAATCCCATCTTAAAACAATAGTGTCTGTCAAAAACTGTCCAAAGTTCTTACTCATAGATCTCCATTGATTTCGACTCCAAAGATTTCCTTTAGCTTCTTTTTCTGTCAAGCTACTGATAGCCCATACCATGAACACCTTTAGCCCAGTCTAAGATTGGACCTCTTCATAATTTCCCAGTGATTCAGCCCAACCCAAGCATTCTCTTGGACTAGTTGTGAAGACCTCCAAATGGTAAGGGCTCATCCCAAATAACCCAGAAAACCCAAATGGGATCTCCACTCATATTCTGATGCCATTAGTTCCTTTTCTCCTCTCTTTTTAGCTTTTGGGAAGTTCCTTTCCTGCAAAGCAAGCAAAACAGCCCCCTATTTATCACTAAACTAATGAGACACTAGTCTCTAATAATAATTATTTAAAAAAACATAAAAACATAAAAAACCCCTTCGATGGGTTTCAATCTTTTAGAACTTAGAGAACAAGTAAATATATATATGATATTGAGCTGTCTTTATAAGAAAATGCCCCACCACAATCTTTTCAGCTTTGTTGTTTGGCCCTTTTTCTAGGTGTAATGCACCGTCCTGGTCCAAGTCCATGCACCACTCCACCATCCTCCCACACTAAAGCAACTTTTTGTCCAACTTGTTATCGCATGCCTGCCTATCTCCTTCCTGGTTAGGTTGTCTGCTCTGGAAACTGATTCTTTCTTGTCACTCCATTTTGTTTTCCTAGCTTTTGCCTAAATCTTTGTCATTAAATTTAATCATGTCATTAGTTTCTATTTCTAGTCAGCCCACAAGTTCGAAAACCCCCCAACAAATTTGAGTGTAAGTGAAAAATAGTGCGAAGTGTTATTTTCAAGAGCAATACGTGTTTGTAATTCGAGTGAGAAGCGTGATTCAAAGGCTCCCAATGTGAAAGCGAAATGCTTACAAACAAAGTAAAGTTGTTATCTTAATGAAAGCTCTTTTCATGAACATTTTCTAAATCATAGGTGGCATAATTAGTGTCTAAAATAAGAGGCAAGTTTGACGCTAAAATCTTACATTGGATTTGCTAACAGTCAATATACTTGTTTCTTTCCTTCTTCTTTAATCTTTCTTCCTTTAAAAAACAAAAACAAAACTCAAATCTGACCAAATTTCCGCACTTCATTCACAGTCAGATAAAGTAGCCAATACAGATTGACATCAACATCTTTAGCTTCTTTCAAGACAGCCAAAAGCTTCCATGTGATGTAAAGAAAGGTATTTCACACGAGTCATATAAACCAAGTCCTTTTTTATTCCTTTTCTCTTCTCTTTTCTTTTGTGGTCTTTAAAAAATGTCATTAATTATTTATATTCATTCTGCAAATACATGTCAATGCTCCATGGAAAACAAATATATAATTTTATATAAATAATGCTGAAAATAGAATAAAATCATGTGTTCTCTGTACTTTGGCAAAAGATGACAATTGACAAGTAGTTCTGAAATTAACATGTACAATTATTTAATTGAAAAAGAAAAAGAAAAAAAAGCAATGATGTAATTAAATGGAAAAGTTCCACGTGTCAGCTATGCATCAAACATCTTTTGTGTGTCGGGAAAGCTTTCAGTATCAGAGCAATATATGAGTGAGTAAGCAAAACATCACCACACCCCTCATCAATCTGAAAGGTAGAAACTTTAAGCCTTTGATCCAAACCCATTTACCGTCCGGACGGTTTTTAACACTTCTCGCCGGAAAAAGCTGACTTGGGTCGCCGGAGAGTTGATTCCATGGACGTTGACTCGTGGGCTTCCAGGGTTCAAGCAGCCAAGAGCCTCTCTGCTGCCCATGCTGCTCGGCTTCACTATGGTACTAAGATTTCTTCATTTTTCAATTTTTATCTCTCATGTGTGCTTCAACATTCCTATTTTAAAAAAAATTGTTTCCCTTTTTAGTTTGTCAAGTTCTCTCTTTGTCTGGGTAGAGTTTTGGGAATTGAAGTAAAGGTAATTTGCTATCTGATATCAGTTTCGTTTCGTTGATGTTTAAGTAAAGCAATGGCTTTTCTGAGAGTTATCAAGAACTGGGTTGGGCTTAAAGCTGAAAACTTGGTTGGATTTAAGATAGAAATTGGCTTTCGATTCTTTGGTTTTCCTTTAGTTTCTTGTCAAAGCAACACGCACATTGTTTTGAACTAATTGTTTTGTCAAACCGTACTGTGTTTTAAATGAACTACTTTGCTTGAATTTTCAAATGGGGAGCGTTCTCCTCGAAATTTATGGGTAATTTTGTTGTGGGCATTATCGGAAAATATCTTCTTTTAATTAATAAATAAAAGTCCGAATACTTTGGGATTTCATATCCTTCATGCTAGATTAGGCAATTTTAGAAAGTTGCTAGATACGTTTATAAAAGCTTTCCATGTGTGTAATATTACAGTAAAGATTTCCTATAAGAAGCAGGGCCATGGAGGAAGATTTTAGTGATAATTCGGGCCCTAATTTTCTTAGAATTAGGGTAGCCTAGAGACCATAGAACGAAGAAACTCCTTTGATTAAGAAGGTGGGGAAGTTATAATTATATTTGAGGCTAATCAACGCCCAAAAAAGAGATTAAGGGGATCTGTCCGCATGACAAATTATACTGAAGATGAAGAAGATACAGAGGATGAAAATTATGAAGAGTTGGTGGATCAAGAGTCGGATCAGCTCAGTAGTTTAAATATAAAAATTTCAGAATATGAGGATTATCTGTATTATCTGGAGAACCTGAGAGAGCAGATACTGAAGGAAACAGAAGGCATTTCATCTGAGTCATTAGGTACTGGTTCCTTCACGCTTGAGAGTAAGTGGGAGTGTGATGCTTCTAGTCTTGTCATTCATGAAGGTGAAGATGATGATGATGATGACGAGGAACCAGCTTACGGAATTAGTTGGAATGAAGGTGAGAAAATTAAGGTTTGATAGAAAAACATATGGAGAAAAATTACAAATCCATCTTCAGATGGTTGCTGAGCAGGGTTAATTCCTTTGCAGCTTATGGAGTTCATAGATAAGAAGATGAATGTATATTTGTTTAGGCTTTGCCTACTGTCTTCTTGGGCAAGAGTCGAGTGGTGTTGGTCCATATTTAGTTACTAAACACGGCAAAGAGTTCATTTTAGTAGTTTCTTGTAGCCAGAGTAAGATCTGCGTGTTGGAGATAGCCTGGGGTGTCTCACTCTGATATATTTATTTACGTGTCTGTGTGTGTGTGTGTGCATGCGCCCTTATTTGCATTGTTGATCCTGTGATTTGGATATATTAATCAACATGTCTCTATGAATGTGTGTACATATATGTCCATCTATGTCATATATCTATGTATCGATCTTTTATTTTCTATATATGTTAAACAGATAATCATATGGCTTTGGAAGATTCTGAAGGAGATGACGATGCAAAATCTTGTTTTCCGTGCCCTTTCTGTTATGTGGATGTTGAAGTCCCAATGCTCTGCAACCACTTGGAGGAAGAACACTGCTTTGACTTTAAAAATGCAGTACGTGCTTTTCTTTACCAGATATTTTGTTGTGTGCGATTTAAATGAGATTAGCATTATCAAAATCATATTCTTGAGTCAATAATGAACCATCTAATCAAGATGGTTTCCATTTTGATTACAAAAAGGATGCTGCTTGAAATTGATAGATTTACTTGGTAAAGTGCATTGAATCATTTAGGGTAATGGTAAATGGGAAGGCCTTCCAAAATTTATAATATTATAAATAAGGGAAGACGCAATTGGAAAATATAAATTATTGCCACCAGTTTATGATGTTTCAGTTAGAATTTGAACCTGATGGCTGCGATGTAGTTGGACATTTTATGGTGCACCATGCAAGCTCCTTCAAGGTATATTTGCCTATATTGGATCATAGATTTACAATATAGTTAATTTAGTCAAAAAGTTTGTTGATCATGTTGGAACCTTAAAGGAGTCATCTATGCTTTTCAGCACAGGAGAAAATCTCAAAAAACGGGTTTGTGGACTGGTAGTTCAGCAATGCTTGGAAAGGCGCTGCTGAAGAATGGAAGGGCATCTGCACATGAATCTGCACCTGATCCTCTCCTCTCACCATTTATCTGCAATATATCTTTTTCAGACCCTACTGGTATTCCAGAAGATATTTGTTCTGATATCAATGCCCCTATCACTTCCAGCTTGAAAAGGTATACTCTTGTTCTTTTATGAAAGTACAACTATAAGATATTAGTGGTTGTGACTCGTGAGTGGGAGATAAAGACAGGGATTGTAAACTTAAGAGATCATAGTTTAAAATGCATCAATGTATTATGGACCAGAGATGTAAATGCAAATGGGTCTTGCGAAAACCCAGGAATTTCATGATTTTATAAGGCAGAAAATAATTGTTGAAAGATTTGTTGTTTATATGCTTACCAAAGAAACAATTTTTTTTTCCTAACCCTACGATATTTGGTATTTAAGCAAGCCTTACATTGCATCTAAATCTGCTCTTCATTGAAAGTTTCAAATTCTTGAAGATATCTTGATTTTGGGAATCCCTTGAAGTATTTATTTCTTTAGGCCTAAGTTATCCAAATGATAATTGCATCATCTTTTCTCTTGTTGTCTGTGTTTGTGTCGTAACCACTTATATAATCTTTTACTTTCACTGATTCTAAAACCAATGAATACTATATAGCTTCACTTTGTTTGCTCATATTGGAACTTTTACTTGTGAGTTTGTTATCATTCTAGATGTTTGGTTGATGCCTTAACTACTGCATATATTTGAAAAGTTGCCTAATCATCTGAGAATTATGGGATAGTGCTTTTTATGTTAATCTGGGCTCTGTACTTTGTGCTTTTGAAATGTGATGCTATCTTCTTTTCCAACCTACTTCCTTTTTCCCTAAAAGTTAAGGACAATTAATTGCCATCACGCCAGTTAAGCAGTTTTCAGCGGGATAGATGAAGATAAATAGGAAACAGGAAACCCTGCCAATATCTGCATAGTTTTATCTTTTCACTGATATGACATGCAAAATCGGTGTTGTTATCCAATAGATCGAACCTTGCTGTTTCCCACCTGTTTCAACAAGATGGAGTACTAGATAGTTTCATTTAAGCTTCAGAGTTTTTCACTTAGTTTTACCTCCATGTTTGCGATTGAGTGGGCCAAGTTACTACTTGTTATTGGTGCTCCGTTGGGTAAACCAGGAATGTGAATGAACCATCGATGTGTTATTCATTCCCTTTATTACTCTTGCATTGCCCTCCATTTTGCCTTTGTTGGGTAGAGTCCTCACTTGCATGAATCAGCTGCAAGTTCTACTGGTTTCAGTGACTGGTCTTTAGATATGTGATATGTCAAATAATATATCTTGGTGAGGGTTATGCAAAAAATACATGCTTTATGAGAATAGGTCTGTTGATGCCGTGTTGCTGATACATTTTGTCTATGCAGCGCTAAGTCATCTTCACCAGATGAAGGCTGTGAAAAGGATAAAGAAGAGCGAAGGCAGAGAGCGGCTTTTGTGCAACAGTTGATTACATCAACCGTATTCTTGGATCTATGAATTCTTCAGAGCACTAAATTTTCTGGAAAAAGCAGAAGACTGATCTTAACTTGGTCACCAAGATCATGCAGTATACACAGTGGGGAATGGTTTTAGGAAGTCAACCGTTTCTATATTAGGTAAGATATAGAGTAATTGTCTTTGGATGGGGACAATTAGGGAAATATGTATACATTGTGTACAATCTATCCTTATGTCTATTTATAGCAACAGCCTGTTTCAAAGGCTGACTTTCCGTAATGAGTAAGGCTTAGCGGATAAAGTATCTATTTATCTATACATGACTACCGAAATTTTGTTGACTACTTTTCAGGCAATGTCGTGAACATACTCTCCAAAGTTATTCACAAATTGTGTGGTACGAGAATACCATCACGGGGTATAATTAATTAGAGCATCCACAATGATGCTCTCTATTTCTTAGTTAAAATTTAGCTAAAAATATAAGAAAGCTATTTTAGGAGCTCTCTAAAAAATTTAAACTCCAACCATACTTCCTAATTTGGAGAGTCATAAATACTATAACTATTTTTTGATTGGTCCATCTCTATTAAAAAATAAAATAAAAAATAGTTAGCATTAAATAAAGGTTTGAAATACTCATTAAATAAATCATCATTAAATTATAGGGAGCTACTAGGAGTTTTTTCTCTCTCCTCAGATTTAGGAGCTCCTAGGAGGTGGATAGGGAGCATGGTTGGAGTTGCATTTTTACAATTCCTCTCTAAAATTTGTCTAAAGAGGTGGTTTAGGGAGCCCATTGTGGATGCTCTTAAGGTACTATAATATGAATAGGAGTAAGAGCATCTACAGTGATGCTCTCTATTTTTTAGCAAAAATTTGGCTAAGAATATAAGAAGGCTATTTTAGGAGCTCTCTAAAAAATTTCAACTCCAACCATACTCCCTAATTTGGAGAGTCATAAATGCTATAACTCTTTTTTAATTGGTCCATCTCTATTAAAAAATAAAATAAAAAATAGTTAGCATTAAATAAAAGTTTGAAATACTCATTAAATAAAGCAGCATTAAATTATAGGGAGCCACTAGGGGAGTCCTTTCTCTCTCCTCAGATTTAGGAGCTCCTAGAGGACTCCCTATTTTAGGAGGTGGATAGGAAGTGTGGTTGGAGTTGCATTTTTACGATTTCTCCCTAAAATTTGTCTAAAGAAGTGGTTTAAGGAGCCCATTGTGGATGCTCTAAGTTCTTAATTTTGGGTGTGGTATTAATATTCAACATTAATTAGTTATATCGCGTTTGTATATTTGGATTGGAAATGCCCAAATCAGTTAATGCATTGATTGTTGGAGTATTGACCAGACCGAATTGGGATCAAATATGGAGTGCAAATCCTTTTTCATTTTTTGCTACCAAGTCAAACTTGGAGTCGTAATTTATTTTATCTGTTGTTCTTCATGCAATAATAGCTCTCGTTTGCCGAATCAAATATTAAAATTTAAAAAAGCTCTTTCACAACAACGAAAAAAGAGAGGAAAAAAAAAAAAAGGGTCATACGCAAGTTTCATTATCTTGATTTCACAAGAAATGCCTTGTGTAAACAAAGAGCACGTCCAGAGAATTGTATCTGTGCTGAATAATAACACTCTCAAGTTCACCAAATTCAAGAATTAGAGCTAGAGCTAGGAAACCAGAGGCAAAAACATAGCAAACAAGCAAATTCCACAGGTTCAATTTGAACAAAGCAAATGAAGCATTGAGGAGAATTCACGTCGAGAGGCAGTGCCCGATCTCATTTTTATGCCAGTGAAAACGTTTCTGATAATAGGTTCAACCAAAGTCACATTTAATCATCATAAGCATATCATTCAACTAGGCTAGAAACAAGAGCGGAGCGCATGGTGATGAACCTACAAAATATATAACATTTGATTGTGGAAATTGCTTAAAATGTCAAAACTAAATAAAATCAAATTGAGTTCAAGTTTGACACCACCAAAAAAAAAGAGTGAAGAGCATTTACTGCCAAGAAAGCCCTTCTTTCTATCACTCAATTATGGATTGAATAACACCAGCGCCGACAGTCTTCCCTCCTTCTCTGATAGCAAACCTCATTCCTTGCTCACAAGCCACGGGAACTATCAGCTCGACAACAATCTTGACACGGTCGCCAGGCATGACCATCTTGGACTCTTCATCCTTATCATTCATTATGGAAGTCACCTTTCCAGTGACATCAGTAGTCCTCATGTAAAACTGTGGCCTATAACCTGAGAAAAACGGTGAATGCCTGCCACCCTCTTCCTTCTTCAAAACATACACAATTGCTTCAAACTTGGTATGTGGGGTAATCGTCCCGGGCTTAGCCAAAACCATCCCTCTCTGAATATCAATCTTTTGTATCCCCCTAAGCAACAACCCCACATTGTCACCAGCCATAGCATCATCAAGAATTTTCTGAAACATTTCAACACCAGTCACAGTGGTGCTCCTTGTGTCCTTCAAACCAACAATGTCCACTGTATCTCCAACCTTAATAGTACCCCTCTCAACACGGCCAGTGGCCACAGTCCCACGACCGGTAATCGAAAACACATCTTCAATTGCTAACAAAAATGGCAACTCAGTCTGGCGCTGAGGAATTGGAATATAGCTATCAACAGAATCCATAAGTTCATAAATCTTATCAACCCATTCATTCTCACCACGAGTGATAGTAGGCTTGGCCATCAAAGCCTCCAAAGCTAACAAAGCAGACCCAGAAATAATAGGAACTTCATCACCAGGAAACTCATAAGAAGAAAGTAACTCACGCACCTCCAATTCCACAAGCTGCAGAAGCTCCTCATCATCAACCTGGTCTTGTTTGTTCAAGAACACAACCATGTTAGGCACACCCACTTGCTTGGCCAGCAAGATGTGTTCTTTGGTTTGTGGCATTGGCCCATCAGCACCAGAAACCACAAGAATCGCACCGTCCATCTGAGCAGCTCCAGTGATCATGTTCTTGACATAATCGGCGTGGCCGGGGCAGTCAACGTGGGCGTAGTGCCGATTCTCAGTCTCGTACTCGACTGTGGCAGTGTTAATGGTGATTCCACGAGCGCGCTCTTCTGGGGCGGCGTCGATTTCGTCGTACTTCTTGGAAGCGCTGCCTCCAATGGAGGCCAAGGCCATGGTGAGAGCTGCGGTGAGAGTGGTCTTGCCGTGGTCGACGTGGCCGATTGTGCCGATGTTGACATGGGGCTTCTTGCGCTCGAACTTACCTCGAGCAGCTTTGACTGTGAAACTGCGGTGGTGGTGGTGGTGGAGGGGGAGAGTGGTGGTAGGCGTGAGGTGGAGGATGGTGGAGGGGTTGAGGAAGGAAGAGGAGAGATGGGTTAGCTTGGAAGAAGGTCTAATGGAGATAGAGGAGGCCGGTGAAGGCGGAGAGGACTGAGAGGCATATGGATAAGTGAGCTTTGAGGACGCTGAGGCTGCTGCTGCTGTTGAAATTGCCATGGAAGATTCAAGATTGAATCTTTAGAGAGAGAGAGGAAGAGAGGGAGAAGATAGAGATGGGGACTGGGTGTTGGGGTTTTGGGATAATGAAGGAGGAGGAGAGGACTGAAGAGGGGGAGTGGTGAGAGGAGGAGTGATATGTATGTTATCCTTTCGAAGACAAAACAGGGCCTCATGTGGGTGGTCTATCCATTTCCCAGCCTCAGAGTTTTGGAGGGATTAGTCTCGTCGGTTACAGGTGGAAATTTGAGAGTTTATGTGCAACCTGTGTTATATGCTCACACGTGTATAGCCCTCCTTCCTCTGATTTAGGACCAAAAGGGTTGTGGGTTTTACCAACCTATTCTTGCCCAATTAACATGTTACAACTTATCTATGTACTTAGTTTAGCCATTTTAACACTCATTTACACTCACATATTCACATAGTCAATGAGTCCCGTGGAAGAGGCCTTACTTGCATACTAGTGATCTTAGATTCAAATTTTCATGACACCTTGGTAGTATATGTGAGAAAACCTCTCTCTTCTTTACTAACTTTGACAAAAAATAATATAAAAATCACATTGTTAGTATATAGGAGTTATAAAAACACTCGAATTTAAGTGTCAAAAGTTAAACCATGAGTGCAAAATCGTTACTACTTATGTCTACTGAACTTCGGAAAAACTATTTCTGAGTTCAGTAGTAGAGCACTTACTGATTCTGACACTTATCGAATTATACTCACGGAAAGAATTCGAGTCTTTAGTTAATTATAAAGAACTTGTAGCTCAAGTAGTGCTTGAATTGAAACTTCAAATGTTTTTCAAATGGTTTTCAGGATTCAATGGAGTGCTATTTCTGGTTGTTAGTGAGAGTCGGTCTAGTCAACAGAGTTATAGAACCCAATTGGGAGCACTTAAACTCAAATATCTCCGAGAGGTTAAGCATGAAGGTGGTTGGTTGTGGCTCAAAAGTATGAAATCGACTGATTGTGATTTGTGTTGATGGTGGCAACCCAGAAAGCCAGACTCACTTTGTGACACGTAATTGATTCAAATACCTTAATTTTTGTGAAACGCCGTGGAGTCAACTTCTACCATAGAAAAATGTTTTCATGAGCAAAGTACCTCAAATTTGGTTGGTGAAGACATTTTGGAACGCAGGAAAACTAGGTTCAATTATCAATGTCATGTTGTGATTATTATCCAATGCAACAATAACCCCAAGCAGGCCACAACAATAACTTAACCACCAGTTAATCGTCCCTTTTCAAGAGAACAAATAAGTAAAACCAACAAAAAAGAATTTATAATTAATTTTCACATTTGCTCAAGATTCACTGACGTGCTCAGAAGCAAGAAAGTAAAAGAATTATCTGTACAGGTATAAACTCCATATTTTGTTGACTCCGTATTCAGTATAAGTAGGTAGCACGTTGATCTGTAGGCATCATTTCGACTTGTCAGACCGATGTCTTACCTCGGCAGAAACAAATCATTCGTGGGAGTTCATGTACCGGATCCTCAGGGCTTCAGGGGTCACTCTAAAAGCTGATCTAGATGACAAGCATGATTGTCCTCCAGGCTATGACTTGCAGCATCTATATTACAAATCTCTCTCAATATCAATCCAGCTGCATAAAATACAGCTACTAGGTCATGCTCCCCAACTTTACCAAAGTATAAAACATCCCTGTGATTTCTATTATCTGTCACCCGCAAAACTAGTGAATAATCTATATATCAAGCACTGGAATTGGAGACATGACAGGGCCAAGAAAAGCTGAATGTGCAAATTGCTTGGTTTAGCAGTCTGCCTC